TAACTCGTGTGTTTTAGTTACGAAACCAACTTATTGTAACCTTTTGCCAGATTACAGAATACATTTTTTTCAAGACCTCAAAAATACCAATTAAACTAATTATGCTGAGCCACTCAGTTAGCATTAGGACAACCGCATCCGTCGAAATGACGCATTTTAATTCTTTTATTTTACAATTATTAATATTTTAAAAGTATCCAATATCCGAAATAATTCTAAATACTATAACGAACATCTGAAGAAATCGAGAAAACTGTATTGTTGCAATAGTTGTAAGGATTACATATCAAGTCTTATAAATACGCGGTAATTTTAGTGTTAATAAAGAGAAAACTGAAAAGTCAAGATTCTTCATAACGATTGCTCTACTATCTTTCTTGTATCTCATATATCCAACAAAATTCGATTGGTTCGATACGTCATCAAGAAAAGTAATGTTCAAGTTTATATAAAAAATGGCGTCACCTAAGTTCAGGTAACATGGCAGTCTCAGTGTTAAGGGGGGACACCACCTAGAAACGTCCTAAATATATCTAAACATTAGGAATGATCTTCTCAATTATTTACATTATTATACATATTTAAAGCTACTTTTCTGGAGTAGAAAGAAATTTTTGAGCCTTCAAATGTTTTCATTTCCACAATAATTAAAATTTCGAAAAATATTTTTGTCTATAAATCCAAAACAATGTTTGTCTTAGGATATTTCCGTTATTTACAATCTAGTCAGTCAACAATGGATTCTTTACAAAAAGGGGTTTCGAAGCTAGCGAATAACTGTGCCATTTTGTAACTATGTTACTTTGGCTTAGAAAAAATATAAATATATAGTAGAAAGTTACAGCTATCTACCCAAAGAAGATCAAAAGTTTCTACTTAATAGGTATTAATATAAAAATTCCTAAAATTTACCTATATTTTGGATATCTCTAAGTAGTGTCGTGTCTTAACCAGTTAACTGCATTTGACGAGTATACACGTCATCTTAAAGCTAGAAGTGATACTACATATTTCTTTCAACGATAAATTCTTTATTTTTTCAGATAAACATGTAATTTTTGTCATCTTGCTTTAGTTTTTCATTAAAATATATCCTAGGTGCATTCGTTCTGCCTATAACGAGAGATTTTTCAAACTAAATTCCACAGTTAATAGGTTAACTAGTCATACTTATTCTTTATAATGTTTTATATACTTTTTATGAAATTTTTATTTAATCAACAATAACCTTTCCTTCGAAAAAGAATATAAATGAATATTCATACTTGGTCAAAGTTAACGCACCAAACCAAAAGGACAGTACACACATTATTATTTCATTTTATTGTGCGTACAGTGAGAGATTTTCCATACTAAATTCTACGATTAACAGGTTAAATTTATTTGTCACCGCGGCTCTTACATTCTACCTATGATTAACCCGTTGAGTGGGTAATCAGAAAAATCTGAACATGAAGAAAGCGCGCACAAAAAATGCGCACATGTACGAAAACTTACAGGAAAAAAGCGCACATAGTGAAATGCGCACAGTTCATGACTCGTATATACATGAATTGCACAATTATAAAGCAAAAGCGAAGGCGAGGGAGGGACTCTGCATATTTATTGAGTTATTGCAAAATACTTACTTATCATTAAACAAATTATTTATTGTTTTGTAATTCAAACAGGTGAAACAAAAAGGAAATTAAAAAATTTGTAATATAAGCCCATTCTCTAGAAACCCATTAATTTGTTGGGAAATTGAAGGATCCAACGTAGATACGGTCCTGTTGTTGGCAAAAGATGCTTGAGGACCCTCCGTTGCGTTGCGCTGTTCGACAAGAAAATTTGCCTCCGAGCTTGAACCGCGCATATCGCGCGCACATACGTGTTCACATATAAAACTCCCATAGACGTCGGTTGCATATGTACGGGAGCGGGATGGCACGGCTGATTTATCGGTCGACATTTTTTCGGGGGATTTTTATTACGTTTTGATCCTTTCGCGCATACATTTTAGCGTCCGCTACCGCGGCTGGGCCCTAATATGGCGACCCTTCGATCGACAACTAAACTTTTCATGGTCTACACTTTTCCGAAGAATTTTACGACCCAGCCGCGTCTCGTTAAATCCTGTAAATTATTCACGAAACCGCGGCGAGTTGAATTTATCATCGGTATCTTGATTACCGATGTATAATAACGTCCCGAGTTAACGACTCCGGTCTTATCAGTCAACTGCCGATTTTTATGCATCCACGACGTATATAAAATTCTCCGAACTTGTACGATTCGAGGCTTAATAAATTCAGTCCAGCGTCCCGTTTGATTTTTAATTTGCGTCGTCAATACCGGAGCCAATGAAATCTCGTTCTGTTCTCGTTTCTTCGGATTTTTCTAGAAAAATGTTCAGTAGACGACGTTGCATGAAATTCCGTACATTAACCCCTCGCCTTATGACTTCTTTCACAACTGTGCTCGATACAAGTACTTCAACGTTAATAATTTAAAAAAAAAAGAATTTGCTACTTATTCCACTCGCTATATTTACTTCAGACGTTAACGATTGATAACAGAAAAGAAATATGTAATTTATATTTCAGAAAAATAAAGAACATTTAGATTTGTCAAATGTAGTTTAAAATTTTCATCGCGAGTTTGACACGATATCATAGGCGAAGGGGTTAACACTAAACCTACCAGACGAAATGACCCCATGAATTTATTTTCCTAAATATATTTTGTTGTTTGTTAGGTATCAGTAATAATTTGTGATATATTTGTTCCTTTTTGAAAAAGTGGATAAGTAAAGAATTTTCTTCGTTTTTGACTTTAATAAACAATTCGAACTGGATACTGTTTGATATATTTTTAACAGCAAATATTTTGGTTTGTCTGTTTCTTTTGTTTAGTAACTAATAACATGATTTAGTTACATATTTCGTTGTAATATTGAGACGTTGATCTTTTAAGAATCAAGCAAAAAATTATACTGTTTTATGCATTGGTAACTTGGATTTATTTTAATGATTCACCGAAACTTACACTTTTACCTTCTTATTAATAGTTAATATCTTTAATATTGATATCATTAATATTATTAATGTCATCTAAATCTTTTAACCGGAAAACTGAAATCTCAGATGTTGAAATACGAAACTGTATAATTAGTGTTAATAATCATTGTAGGTTTACGTGAAATGGTGATTTTTTGTATATTAAAGTCGCCAGATCATCGTTCGTATTAGCATTCCATTTACAATTCAATTGGATACGAAGAAGCCACGTTATCGATACAAACTCTTTCTATGTGATTTAGTTTTTATTTCCGTAAAAATCAAATATCAAACTGACCACACAGAATTACATTAAGTGAATCGGAAAGATCAGCCACTAGACCTTAACTATGTGTTTAAAAGATTTTTAAAGAGCTTTTACAAAACGTACGTAGAGTAAGTGTTTTCTGACTTAACTCAGTTAAAATATGAGTTAGAAAACAGTATGCTGTTGCTAAAAAAATAATTTTCTATTCAGAAGCAGCTTCAACTTACATAAAATAAGTATTCATATTTGTGTCTTGTTTTTAAAAAAACAAGGAAACTGAAATTTTGATAATTAACCGGGTAAGAGAATTAGATTGATATTTAATAGCATGTATGTTATAATAATAAACATTAAATTAAATATTAACCAGCAAAGAAATTCAATTACAAAAATTGACTCCTTTCTTCGAATTAAAACTAATTAAAAAGTAACAGAACTTTCCGATCGATCTAATGTATTCATTAAATTACACATAATATTACTATACATATATACAAATTAAATTCTACATAATATTTCCAAAATCATGATAGAATTTACTTGTTGCGTTGTCATGCAAAGACAGTAGAAACTGAAATCTGTGACGTTTGATAAATTAACTAACTCTAATCTGATAATTAAAGTGCTTGTTCCACAATTATAAAGGGATTGCGGATGCGACAAATTACTGAATGAAAAATATTATCGAAATTAATAAATTAATAATTATTATCATGTTTTGTTTAACACTTTGACTGCCACGTCACTCGAATTCAGGTAACACTAATTTTTACGCAAACAGAAAAATTAATTTTTACTGACGTATCGAATGAACCACCAATAACGCGACTAAAAATGATTGGAAAATAACTATAAAAGTAAGATTCATCATAAGAAAATAATACAAGTAGGGAAAGAATTTGGACTAATGTCAAACAAGAGAATTTAAAGTCGGATTCGTTGACGTAAGATGTAAGAAGAAATTAGTTATTCATTTATTAATACTAGAACTACCAAGCATTTATTACATTTATCATTTCTAAAGATTGTAACAATACATTTTTTCTAATTTCTTCAGATATTCGTTATAATATTTAAGTGAAACTATTTCTTTTCCAAATCATTTCATATATTCAATACTTTTAAAACATCAATAATTACAAAATACGAAAATTGAAACTTGTCATTTTGAGGAGTGCAGTAGTTCTAATATTACGAAAATTGTTTCGACACCATACGAGTTTTAACGAGTGTTAGCAATCAGAGAGTTAATAGATGTTCGAATGGATTAAACAAATTTTTCTTTAATTCTGGTGTTCGCATAAGAATTGACAAAAAATTTTGCGTAATTTTTGCAAAATTTGAATCCGCAGTTTCATTAACCCTTCGCCTTATAATAACGCGTCAGATGCGCGGTGAAAATTCTAAACGAAATTTAACAAGCATAAATATTACTCAATTCTTTTGATTTCAAATTAAACATTATTTTTTTTATCAATGAATATATTTCAGAGCAGACATATGTATAGAATATGCCCAAATTTTTTTTTTCAATAAATTATTAATGACAAAGTAACTATATCGATCATAGTTGAGAAATAAATCGTAAGACAAAGGGTTAAAGACAGTTTACCATGTTGGTAAAATAATTTTCAGTTTCTTCCATTTGTTTTGCAAAATAATAATTTTCGACGATAATCAGGGGTAGTTTTTGGTCAGTGGAATTCCCTTGCGAGCGCATCGAGTATCCTTTGAAACGTTGCGCTGTCTAAACCACAAAACGGTCTCTCCTGAGGAGAGAGGAGCAGCGATCTTCTTCGTCGGCGACGAAATATGTCGTCAAATTCGTCACCAGTGGTTGGGGGATTCACCTTAGCGTAATAAAGTGCGGCGAAACCGCTGTAAATGAGAAGAGCCGCGGTGGCAAGCTAAAAGTTGTAAATTTAATTAATTAGTTATAAAATTAGTGAAAACCTCAGCTTGGAATTTTTAATCTTTACGTAAATTATCTCGAATTCATTTTATTTTCTGATTCTCTTTCTTTCTGTAATTTATATTTTTGTTTGACAATTAGTATTCGAAGTACTCTTTATTTCTCACTGATCGTTAACTTAAAATTAAAATCTTTAGTTACTATACTGCTTCTTCGAAATCAATTTATTTGTTTTTCTTTTTCTTTTTCTTCGAAAACATTCGTTTTCTAGTGATCAAATTATGAATGTTTGTATAAATTCAATGGAAAACATCTTTCAACCCTTAAATCTCTGCGTTGCTTCAATATAGAATAAACAATTCATCGAATTGTATCAAAATTTGTATTACAATTTTGTTTTATTTGGATATTCTGCTGGCTACTTTTAATTTTACAATTTTGAAATATATAGGTGATCAAATTATGTGATATAATCTGCGTACAGTAACTATGTAAAGCATATGTACGAAACAGAATAAAGTAAAAATGGTATCGATAATGTACAAAGTAATGATTTACATTGTTTTTAAATTGACAATATATAGAAATATGATGATGTAAAATAGAAAGACTCACTTGAAAAACAGCCCAAAACTTGTAACTACCCTCGTTGATAAGAAAGTCATAATAACCGCCCCAATAGTCGACTTTTGCTTCAGACATGGCTTTCATTTCCTTCTGTTCCTCTTCCTTCATATGATGATCGTCATGATAATCGTGATCAAAATCATCATCTTGAGGTCCACGTCGATACATCCTCGGATGCCTGATAATTATAAAATTTATAATTATCAATTATCAATGCAAAATCAATTCTTTCTACAGATGATATTATACTATGTGTATATTACTATACACATGTTTATGTGAATATCTGAAGGTGACGTTAATTTTAAATGATGAAATAATCGACTTTTTTATTTTATTCAGTTATTTTTGTTGAAATTCTTGTTTATATTAATTTCTATGCTATATGGTGTGTCTCGTTTGAAAAAAATCATGAAAAGAATTCTTGAAAATAATTTTTTATTTTTAATTCGAGTTACCTGTATATTTGTATTGCTGTGGCAGTTTCAGAATTTTCTGTAGAGTCACTCCCTTCCAGTGGTACATTTGTTTCGGGGTACTTGCCGCTGGCCAATGCATGAGAGACGCAAACGAGGAACAAAAGACAGTGACAGACTAAATTTGTTCGTATTCTATCTGAAATTTGGAAGATTTAAAATATATCTTTATCGTATTAATTTTCTTTGTAAATCTAAATTTAAATGTGGTCTTTAAGCAATTACTTAATGTATCTTTTCATCATAAAAGATTTTCATTGATAAGTGGTAGTTTTGATTTATACTTAAAGTCATGAATTAATTATTGAAATTTTTCGTTAGTAATTTAAAGAGTGAACAGAAAAAAAGTTGATGAAAGAAAATTGATTAATTTTAGGTAAGTACAGGAGCTTTAATTTTTAGACAAGCTTATGGCTTCCTCATATTATATTCATATAAATTATTAATATAGATAATATAGATTCTAAGTATATATTATTTAATTATACCGTGATTAATCGTTTTACTATTAATCCTGCTGCACTTGTAAAATCTGCAGAATTTTTCCAATTGCTTATACAAACCAATGAAGAGTTATATAAATCAAGATTGTGAATTTTACAATCTTAGTTAAGGGGTCCCCTAAAATGGACCGAAATTCAAATGATGACAATAATTAGTTCTTATGTTGTATTTATACCCGAATAAAGATTTTTTTAATATAAATTTTGGTGAAGTAAAATATAAAAGTAAATTTCAGTGGTTTAACTATATTTATTTACGAATATTAAGGATGTAATATCGACGTTTACTAAAATAATAATATAAACGGCGTACGTTAAAAATTTTAATTAAATTTCAGCTAATTAAGATATTTAATAACAAAATCAGATTTCCATTGAATTTTTGCCTGTTATGCTTTACATTTTCAATTTACCAGAACTGTCTTCAAATTTTCTGTACCAATGCAAAAAATGTATCTCTTTATAGACTGAATTTTTGAAAGTATCCCATTTTTCCACGGAACTCGCATCAACGTTTGTTAATTTAATTCTAACTGAATATACTTTGTTGGAAAACGTTTAAAAAGCACAGTTGTTTATGATATTACGAATAATTATAGATTCAAACATTGTTGATTCTGATGTTATAAACAGTTACAGCAAGAATTGATAAAGTACTAAATTTATTTCGTTATTGAGTGTTTACAAGAATGCAATGAAGTGTTCTTCTCTATGAAAGTGCATATTTAGTTCAAGGGTAAAACGTTGATATTAACAGAACGAACTTTCATTTCAATCCATATGCAATAAACACCATTGATTTTTATTAACACTATTTCTATTGAAGCTGTCAAAAGACTCCTGAATTTTTAACTTAAAATTATTTCCTAAATTTAGTCGTATATTCTGAATTGACCTTCCGATTTTTCCAACAACGATTATAAAATTGATCATAGAAAATGTCTAAAATTCAATTGAGAAGAAATGATTAAACTGAGAGAAATGATTCGAAATGAGTCGAACTGAGCAAGAAATTGTCGTCATATTGCAAGGGGTCGAATCCTGTCATTCACATCACTTACCCATAATTTTCCCTCCACTTCGATCGTACCAAATAATTCAACGAGTCCTTAGAACCGGTCGGAAAAACGCGTGTTTCGTTCCTCTCATTCGTGAACACGTGTTTCGCTGCACTATTCCGTTTCACCAATTCACGAGAACTGATGTTCACCTTTAACTGGTTTGTTTATGCTTCATAGTCAGTCGAAACAAATTCATCGATCTCGTTGCACCGGCGTTTTCAAGTACAGACGAACCTCGATTAACTGATTCGTTATTTTTCTAGATTCTTCAGAGTCTTAGATAAATCGAAATTCAATTTGTTGAGATCGAAACTCGATTTGATCCAAATGTATTATATAATATATTCTGAAAAATTTGTTCTCAGGTTTTCATTTAGCTATCTGGATTATTAGTTGCTGAATTAAATCGAAATAATCGAGGTTTTACTGTATTTAGAGTGTTACGTAGCGTGGAGTTGACAGTGTTACTAATTTTTCGATCAGATTTCGAAGTGTCAACGACGGGAATCCCAATTCGAGAACCGTCGATGATAAAATCCAAGCAGCGACTGAGAACGATTCGTGGACCCAGTTCAAACACGTTGTTACGGTTCACGCGCACCGGTAACTGTATCACCAGAAACGTTAAGCAAATCCAACGCAGCGCGCTAAAAGCTCTAATTGTTACAGATCTTATGTATCGACGCGTCGTTTAGAAAGATTTCAGTCAGGAATTCGCCAATAGACGATGGGACCAGCCCCTGTCCCCATTTTGTCTTTTGCTGCTCTCTTCATTGATTGATTCCGCAGGATGATCATTTTGTAAGAATAGTCAATAGGTTCTTTATCAACTCTTTGCACTCGAGAATATTTTTCTCAAGAAATATTCACTAGTTTCTGGTGAAATATCAATAACAATTTTTTGATAAATTAATCTTTGACTTATGCAATTTTTGCATAAATTAATGTTGCATAAATTTTTATGTGCTGACACATTATATAAAATTTAGTACTGAATTTTAAGTATTATAATCTTGTTGGATTTAATTGAATAGCGACTGAAAGGCGACTCTTGAGTGTCTAAATATGAATTTAGTTATTCAACTGTAATCGATACACATACTTATTATTCTTGTGTCTTGGTGTAAATTTGTAACGCATGGTGGAAGATGTTGGAACTTTGTCATTAATCATTTATTGAGAAAAAGAACAAAATTCTAGGCATATTTTATGCCCATGTTTACTCTGAAGTATAATAATTCATGACAGAAAAATAATATATATATTTAATTTGAATATAAAAAATTGAGTTATATTTACTCTCGTTAAATTCTCTGTAACATTTTCACCACAAGTCTGACATGTCATTGTAAGGCAAGGGGTTAATGGTCTTACGGTTTTCTTTTCTATGGCGAACGTGTGAACTCTAATTGTAAGTTATAATGCATGTTATTTGTGTGGCTAAGAATTTAATATAATAAATTCTATATTGAACTGGAGATAACAATATTAACTTTTTAAAATAAATCACTAGAGCCTCATATCAAGTAGAAACATGTCATGTTTATTCGGAATTTCAGTATATTAAGTATTGCAAAAATATATCTGCTTTTCAAAGAATTTTGATATCTTTTTTGTTACAAACTTTCAATATGTAGAAAATAATACAAAGGTTTCATGAAACTTAAAGATTGCCACAGCGATTCAATGCAAAAACATCCCCAATTTGGCCATGTTAGTCGCTTTCCTAACTCTTGTTAACCAGTTAACTGCATTTGACGAGTATACGTCATCATAAAGCTTGAAACGATACTAGTTCCTTCAACGATGAATTATTTATTTGTTCACGTAAACATGTAATTCTTCTTTATTATGCTTTGGTGTTTCATTAAAATGTACCCTAGGTGCATTCATCCTGCCTTTAACGAGTACATGAGTACACACTTTTTTATTGGATTGCGCGTAAAATGAGAGATTTTTAAAACTAAATCCCACAGTTAACAGGTTAATTAAAACCAAATCGATCACGTTTCACATTTCACGAGTTACATGTAATATTTCGTTTCTAACCAAGAAATGTGTCACCAGTCTATAGGCGGGACAACATAAAAAGTGTTAAAAGACGCTTCGACGCTGGCAAATAAATACGCACGCGCGTTTGAATTCGCGCGGCGCGCCTCGCGTCTAACTGAACCTGCATCAAGCATAATCTTCTGTCGCAATTATCGCCGGTTTAGAGTATTGTTTCAACGGTACTTGCTTAAGAACACGCTAATCGCCTAGCCTAATAAGGTAGGAGGATGTATTACTTCGTTTAACCGGGTTGAAGTTCGTTGTTTCCATTCGGCTACTGTCTGTTTGCGATGCTGGCAACAAAAGTTCCATCGTGCTGTGTGAGAAAACTTTCCATGATCTGCCGGTTAAACACTCGTTTCGTTTCGTACAACGGCTAAACGCTCAAATTGACCGGAACTAAAGACAATGCTAGAAGCAGGCGTTTCTAGCTTGTTTAGCCTTAAGTATTTACCACCCGATAAAAAGCGGAATTTTACAGCGAACGGTATAGTTCTTCAAATTATATTCGCTAATTATTGAACGAAGTGAGTTCTTAACCCCTTCTTCTGTAATAGTCAGGCTCGATTTTCAACCGATTTTGAATTCATTTGATGACAATTTCCAATCGAATTCGATAGATCTGAAAGGTATTTATTTATTTTGAATATAAATGAAATATTAATTGTCAATTATCACCTTTAACCTTTAGAGTAAACGTAGACACTAAATAAGTGTCAGATTCTTTTCTTTTTTTACTAAATTATTAGCGATAAAGTAGTTCTGTTAGCACTTAACGTATCGAAACTTTGTGTATATCTATACCTACTATCAGTCAAATAACTAGTTATAAAATCAGGGTAAACAAGTAACAGGATAAATATTTCTTATTGGAAATAGAAGCAGAAGGAAAGACAAAAATTGAAAAATTAATTAATCTGGTAATATAGCAATTGATTTAATATTAAATGAATGAGGAGAATGCAGTATTTTAAATCAAATTTTCAAACCAGTCACTTGGCGATACATTTTGTGTTAAGCATAGGTGTGAAAGAAATCATAGATCAAGGGGTCAACTAATGAATAAAGGAATCTCAAAGAAATCAGAATCAAATAATTTTTTTTAATTTATTAGTAACACAGCTTATATTCGTAATTTCTGGATTTTTCGTTTTTTAAAAATGATGGTGCGCGTTTTGATTTTATTACATTGTATCATCAAATTTATATCAATTGAAAACTGATATTAATTATTTATCACTTTATATCAAAATTCCTATTATTACCTATAACATTTATTATAATAATTAGTATGACATGTATCATTAATTTACAGTAAAATTAAATTTTACCACAAAATTTATATTAATCCAATTTTTGATATATATAATTATTCCTTCGATTCTTCCATTATATTTCTATGCTCAAAAGATTATCACTAGATTCCGAATCTTCATACAAATTCGAATTATTAAGAACACAATTAGAAAAACCGAATTCCAATAAAACATAAACGATCAGATATTTCCTATGTATTGTCTAAATACATGTCTAAATACCTATGTATTGTATAAATGCAAATTGTACAATCTAATTATTACCTCCACCTAAATCAATATAATTTACTAAAATTCATTTATTATTTACCATTTATTATCAACATATCTACCATTGCCCCATTTGTAATTTATACTTTCGAACTCAGAGGGGAACATATGTAATCCTGTTCGCCGAATAAATAAATAAATGAATCTAGATACAACGGACCCCGGGGTGCTAATAAATTGCAAAAAGAGCACGAGTGTGTATCCAGGGTTAATCTTATCGCGGATCTATGGAGATTGTTATGCATGAAATGCATTATGCGCGGCTTGGAACATGCGAAAGTGTAATGTGATTGGACACTTTGTATTCGCAGTACACGGAGAAATCGAGGGGATCATGCCTGAGAAGAAAAGCCGTGGGGATGAGTACGGATTGCGGCGGCGTAATTGGCCAATCGGAATGCGGGACCATCAGGAATTCTCGCCCCGTTTCCTGTAATTCTTTCAATTCTGCCGATACTGACAAATTCCAGCTCGTTACCCGTCCAAAAAGTTGCACCGTGAGACGGTAAGAACCGGCCATAACCGAATACGCTTGTTCCTTGAGAATTTACGAACGCGACAATGTAAGAGTGTGCCTGAGGACGATGGCCATCTTCATGAGCTTAATCGCATCGCTTGAGCGGAAAATATTTTTTCTGCTCGATGCGGTACGTGTGCAGGCCCATGGGGACTTTTATCTTGTTGGTGATCAAGGAATTTTGTATTTAGTCGGCTAGAAGACTTTCGATGTTTGGAAAGTCAAAAATTGTATTTTTGTAATAATTATGATTGAATAATATGTTTCGTGGGGAATTGGAGTTAGTTATGGAGTATTCGAAATTTTTAAAGTCGAAGTGTTTTAAATGATTTGTTGTATAATATTGTCTGCTGAATGAAGTATGCTTTAGGTTTATGAGTAATATGTAAATTGTAATTATTGAAATTACTTAATTAAGCTATATTATGAATAGAGTGTGGAATGAAGTTAAGAGCTTTCTTTGTACGTTATTGTGAATTTTAATAAATATACCGCATCATTTTGAAATCATGGAAATGGAAAATAGAAGTATGTACGAATTGCATCACTTGAACAAAACACATAATTTTCATTAAATTTTAGTTAAATATCATTTTCTTTAGTTGATTAGATTAATTCACCTGTATATTCATTATAGGTGTAGTAATATCTTAAACGAATAATTTATTACCTCTATATTTTTTAAATAAATAATATATTGATAAGAGAATATTTACAGTATTTATGTATGATATTTACATATACGAGTTACATGAATTAATACAGATGCAAAATATTATTTCAATATTTGAATTGCATTATGTGTATCGGTAAATAATTCTCCATTCCACAGTACCCCGAAAAAATCAAAACCCTTTCACCAAACCAATTACTAGAATTTTATGGAAAAACAGTGAATTATTAATCGATACACAGTGAATTTAAATAAATATACATAAAGCAAAGTGTTTATCGAATTTTCAATTGATATTTGCTACGCTTACTTTTACTCCTTCTAACACTCCTTCTAACACCAGACTTACGGACATTCAAAAACAGGCAATTAAGATACCTATTCAAATAATTGCATCAATCCTTATCAATATGAAATTTTTCTAAATAATATTTATGAAATTGAATATTCGTCAAATTTAACGGATTTCGTAAATCTGGTGCTAATTACAAATAAAAATCTCTAGAACTCGAATTATATTAACACTACTGTGTTAACTATTATTCTAGTTCTACTATTATTCTGTTATTAATTATATTTACAAAGACATAAACGTTACCATCTAGAAACTTGTAATGTTCCTTCTCAATAATTGAATTGTTACTAACAAATGGTACTTTAAACAATTTCTTTAACCGTTTCAACGTGGACCTTTTTTATTAGTATGCCAGAAATGCAGGGTATATAATTTTATATACATATATACTTGTTATAAGCGTATAATTTTGTATTACTCAGTGTAAATGTATTTTGCAAAAATTGTACTGACAAACAACGCGTTGTTCATACTGCTGAAACACGAGAGAAATGCGATTGCGGTCCTCCACAGTCAAACGGTTAACACTAAACGCACCGCGACCAGCTAAATGAGCCGTTTTAAAATTTGATTAAAAATTTTACGTTCTTTTTCGTTTGTCCTTTCTTCTCGTTCATTATATCAATTCCTATATTTTCCGATAAACTTTACTGATCTATACTAATCCCTTAACCTATGATAATTCACTAAAAATAAACGAGAATCCCACATTCATCTATATCCATGTTTACTTTAAAGTGTAACAATTGATCTCAAGAGAATGGAGATTCAATTATTTTTGTTAATTTCAGAGATCTTCACCACGAGTCTAACATGATATTCTATGGCAAGGGGTTAATTAAGTTTCTTAATGTTTGTCTCTCTCAAAAAGTGCTGGTACATTTAGTGTTAACTCTAAACCGGTTTTAACCAGTTAACTGTGTTTGACGAGTATACATGTCATTTTAAACCTCTAAATGGTGCTAACATTTTCAACGATGGACTATTTAATTTTTTAGACAAACATGTAATTTTTCTTTCTTTCACTTTAATTTTTCGTATTATATATTACAAGTGCATTCGTTCTGAATTTGATGAGTACACACTTCACTTTTTGATTTTATTGCGCGCGAAACGAGAAATTTTTCAAACTAAATTCCGTATTTAACGGGTTCAAGTTTGATATAAAATTCTGCGTTCTCTTCCGTTCATATAATTTCATATAAATTCCTATATTGTCCAATTAATCAGTTTTTAATTTTTGTCTTTCCTTTCGTTTCTATTTCCACTAAGAAAAATATATCGTCCAACTTATTTACCTTTATCTTGTAACCAGTTATTTGACTGGTTACCTTACGAATAAGTATTCAAAAGGTGCCGGTACGTTTAGTGTTAAAGTCCTAAGAAGTCTTTCCATATTTCTCCGCGAAATTTTCGACTCCCTCGAGTATCCTTCCCGTAAAGTCCCACCAGCTTTCGTCGGTCTGCGATCTGGAGTGTCCAACAGCTTCCGCGAGGTGAGCCGGGAACGTGATCTTGTGTCTGGCTATGCTCTTCAGCACCAGCGCCGCGATGTAGATGATGAAGTATATGCTGAAGTAGAGCGGAATGTACCAGAGCTTCTTCCCTATGAAATAATACGAGTACGGCCTCTTGTCCAGCCTCTGGTCGTTCATTTCCGGTTTCTCCGTGTGCTCGTGGTACTCGGGTATGTGGTCGTATATCAGCTCGTGGTGGAAATCGTGATCGTGGTCGTGGTCGTAGCCAGGGTGGTCGTAAGGGGGATGATCCGGAGGAGCGGAATATTCGATGGGTTTCGGCGCCGGCGCGCTACCGTAAGATGAATCATCCGGAAAATCAGGGTAATCGGAATCGTGTGAGTCGAACGATGAATCCGGTTTGTAAGAATCTGGTGGCTGAAAGAAAAATTGGGGAAGATCTGTTGAACTGTTTTAAGGATCTTCGATTGTTTGAAGTTATATTCAGTTTTCTCATATTGTGTTGAAATTAATTTCATTTTATACGTTAAAGTTCTATGGTGAAAGAAGAATTGTAGAAGAAAATTATAGATATATTACTACTTTTAAATTATTACTGTAAGAGCTAAAGACTTGATTCGCTGTTACTGTTGCCTGATTATAATTGTTAATACCATAAATAATCCTCACATTTAAAAAGGAAAAGTGTAATAGAATACCTGAATAGTCGATATGAATAATAGAACATCACCAAACTTTTAGTTTAGAATTTAGATTATGTGTTCAGATAATACTTATTTAGCTATTAGAAATTTTAAAGAAAAAAGTTTTTATTGTGAGAGAATGTCAAATATCTCAACTTGAGTTTTTTCGATACAGGGTCATAATTATAATTTTACGTCGATTATTTGAAAGAAAATTGACCATAATTTAAAACATTCTAGTATCGTTGATATAAATATTTGTTGAGGTGTCAAGCAAATTCTCCTTGAATATCGTCGACTTCAAACGAGTCGAAACCTTCATTTTATGTTAGCTATAATCACTTCTAATGGTGTGGCGAACCACGCCCCACACCTAGAACTATTGACAAAAACCACAGTACTTAATGAAAAGCACTAACAGTCTGGGTTAGGTCTGAGTTAGTATCCTGTGTCGTTGAACTCATCTTGACGTCAGCTGCTAGACTATAAAGTTAAAAGTATATACGCGGAGTTATGATAATCTCTATATGTCATCACATTTGTCCGTGTAAATGGAACAGCATTCCTTTTTTAGTATTACATAATTTTTTAATTACTGTATCAACGATGCCTTAGATGTTAATCGTCATTCACTCTGTAACGAGTCTGTTCACTTCAACAGCGCGAGCAATGTGCTAGCCATTAACAATGTAACAAAAAATGTTACTAAACATTTTTTTCATTTAAGTATGCCACATCAGGTAATAGTAAATAATGCAATGAAGTTCATGTTCAGTTTTTTAGATTCAGCTATATAATATTTCAAATGATAGTGTAATTGAACAAGTACTGTAATGTAATAATTTTACTTGTTATAGCAATGTTAGCATTAGTAGTATAATTTATAATAGAATTACAGTAATTCGTATGTTCAGTATAGTTGCACATTCGTGTAATTATAGATTCATAATGTCAAAAAGTAAAAACTTAAATAAAAAAATGAGACTTAGGGTAAGGAAATATTTCATATATATATATATTTATGTATGAAATATTTTATATATTGTATATTATAAAATATTTAATCTTGATTAATTCTTTAAGGAATGAATAGTTACAGTAGAATAAGAAAACGCATTAATATAAAAAATGTATTAAGATTAAATTTAACAATGAATCTTTCTACATAAAGCAGGAAAATAATCAATTTTCTTCTTCTATTTCGTTTAAATGTTCACATTTCTTCTCCATTTTCTAGATAAATAACTATCTTGGAAAGATATTATCCTCTCCAACGTCTCAGAAACTTGAAAATCAATACTTTCGTAACAGTCTACATAAATTTTAATGATAATTAAATGCACCAATCGTGTATGTATACTATCAATTTATTTCAAAATAGAGTTAATCGTTTATCTCTTTAGCCCGGGTACACTAAAAATCTTTTTTATTTCAAAAATTATTAATTCGAATCACCTCGTGATAACAATTAGATTGTTTCTGATGGCTTCATTTTTTCTACATCACGATTACTTCATCTTTTTCTCGTGGATATATTTTTCGTAACACATTCAAACAATAAACAACACGAATGAAAATTCCCACATTCTTTATTCAATTTTAGAAATTAATTCATGAAGCAATAAGTTAAATGAAAATTCGGTCCTCGATCGATTAAGAATTCTTACCTTGTCACTGATTTCGAAGTCCGTGTAATCGCTCATTGACAGCGGCTTCGAGATGGGTTGGTCTGCAAGATAATCTGCCGGTTTCGGCATGGGATTATCACTGACGTACTTGGGAGGCTTCGAAATCGGTTTATCGTTTGAAAAATCCGGCGGTTTGTAGTCGTAGCTGGCTGGAAATGGTTGCTTCGAGAAATCGAACGTATCCGAGGACGAAGGGCCGCTGGGTGGTCCGCTGGGTGGACCGTTCGCTGAACTAATTGGTCCCAGTATCTGAACAGGTTTCGAAGTTTCCATCGCACTACTCGGTGGATCTTTATTTTTGTAAGGATTGAACGGGCCGGGATGATACCTGTCCTGAATTTTCTTTTTCGCGTTCAGTTTCGCTAGCATCTCGTAATCCAGCGTCGAATATCTATAAATTCGATGAAACGATATAAACTCGGCCGATGCGCGCTATAAAGTTAACCGATGACGTCATTTCGTTAATGCAATTAATGTTACAGCATCGAAACAACATCGTAAATAAACTTGCACGAACCATTTTAGAATCTTAATTATTCTTATTGTTGATTGAAGTATGAAATTAAATAAGATGATAATCTTAATCGATTTTGAAGGAACAATTTCCTGTATGTGTTTTGTAGTTTTACTTATTTGTTAACAGAGAAACTGAAATTTTGATTTTGTTTATATATGAAATTGCAATATAATTATTACAATATCAGATTACAATATCAAATATCATCGGTAATAGTACAACAGTTCTACTACTTGTGAGTCGTTTGCTATTTCTCATTATTTCATTATATTTCTTGTCATCATTATTTACATAGATTCTCTGTTAACATTTCAAAACACTCTAAACGATTATTATTTTCTAATCCTTTAAAATAAAAATTTATGATTTTTCTTCGTACCTCGAACTGGATGTATAATCGACAGCCTCGCCACTTTGCAATTTCTGAGCTTTCGGCGCGATATAGACAGGAGACATCGTGATAGCAATGTTCTTCATGCCTCTACCCTCGTCATCCGTCCCATTATTTCCAATTAAAATCCTTAAAAGTAAAGAAACCACTTTATCGATTCTTTCTCTAACAGTATCTTTAACATTAGCCCTACTGATTCGTCAAAATGGCGTGTATTAGTTTCCTTATTTTGCAACTATTAACATTTAAACAGCATCAAATATCCAACATGATTTGCAAAACAAATAGATCCACTTGAATACTATAAGGAATACCAGAAAAAATGAATTGTATAATGGTTGTTTACAATCTGTATAAGTATTACATATTAATCGTACGAAATGCTCAGTAGTTTTAGTGTTAACACACATATTTTGACCTACATCAGAATTCTTATTTCGCAAGTATTTAAATTATGAAGTCGCTTCTGCGAAAGATATTAAATTAAATTTGTGTACCTGCATAGATACAAGCCTAGGATACTTTTCAAATCTCAATAAACGTATTATTTTAATTTTTATAAAACATTTGAAATATTTCACTCTAATCACTCGGTAATTCTAGTGTTAATTTTCCTATTTGCAACGAATTAATCTGTTAAATGTGGAATTTAGTCTAAAAAATCTCTCGCTGTGCGCACAATAAAATTGAATAATAAGGTGTGTACTCGTCAAACCTTAATTAGATTCACCAATCCCATATGTATAATGTAATTTATTTCAAAATAGAGTTAACCGTTTACGTCTTTACTCTGAGTGTATTAAACATTTCTTTTATATTAAAAATTACTAATTCGAATCATTTTTAATGATTATTTGATTTTGCATTTAAATGGAAGTTTTTAAAATCAGTATATAACTGTTGCATTACTTTTCTCTACTTTTCGTTTTGTGGTGTCAATCGATTTGACCACTGAGTGGCTCAAATCATAGGTCAAGGGGTTAACAATCGTACCTGGTGATCCAAGGCGTCTGATCGTTCCCGGATCCGGTATCCTCCCGTCCGTTCCTCGACACTTTCGCGTATGACATCACTTCCGGCAGAACCGAGGCGGCCGACAGATTCGCTAGAAGAAGCGAAATTAATATGCGTATCATCTTCTCCGGCAGCCAAAGATGAATGATTGAGGAACTCCGGTTTGCGTCTTCTATATAGACTCGTAACTGTATCTCGCCAGTTAGACCCTGGAAATTTACTGTCCGACTCTAATTTCGCTCGTACGCCATCTTCTACGGTATTAAGGATCTCCATTTCCTTCGTTTAAAGACGCTGTAACCGTCTACGAAAATACCCTTCGGTTCCTGTGCCATGAATCAAGATTAATCTTCTCGATTTTTCACGGATGAACGATATCAATGCGGTCTACTGGCGGACAAAAATATTACAGCGTACGCGGCGAGCGCTAATTGCTCGAGAAACGAGGGTTGACAAACTTGTTCTAATCTGTTTCGCAAACCACGGCACACCGTTACGAGGATTCCGGGAGGAGGAAGGAAACAAACGATCGTTAATGCGTCCTTGACCGTGAAATCGTTTGATCCATATAGAATCGGACGAGGAAGTTCTCTTTTTTTTTGGTAAATGTTCTGATTCACGGATTTTTTTGTAATTCATTTGTTTTAATCAGTTAACTGCGTTTGACGAGTATACACATCATTTTAATCTTTTAGCTACTATACGTCAGTATAGTGGCTTTCATGTATAACATCTTTTTGAACGGTTCGCTACTATAGCGGCACAATTCTTCTGTAGTTTAATTTAACGTAATTGCACAGTGAAAGATTCTATCAGTCTCAAATCGCAGTGATACATTAATAATACGCAGACGGTGCCAAACCTTGCCATACAGAGGTATAGCTTCGAGGTTAATCTTTCTGTAGTTAAAAGGTTAAAGCTTGAAATGATACTAATTCTTTCAACTACGAGTTCTTTATTTTGTCAAATGAACATCTAATTCTTCGTTGTATAGATTTGAGTTTTCATTGAAATGTACTCTAGGTACATTCATTCTGTGTTTGACGAGTACACACCTAATTTTTTGATTTTATTGCACACAAAACGAGACATTTTTGAAACTAGATTCCACAGTTAACCTTGTTAATAGGTTATTGTTGTGCCTGTTGACTATGGCCAATTCATCAGTTTACACCTTACCTTCGATTTACGCGGCACTTTTTTATGCAGTACATTAGAACACTATTTACAAGGTAATTTTTAGTACATAAAATGTACTTTTGTTTTCTGAAATGTCAGTATTATTATTTCTTTTGTTTGGCTATGTGAAATAAATATGTATTTCTAAAACTTACAGCAGCTTTTCTTTCCAATAGTTTGTTTTCTCTTATACCGACAAACTCTATTTACGTGATTTTCAGTGGCATAAAACGAATCCGCGTAGAACGGATTTTTGCGTAAATCGGGGACCAGGTGTACATAATTGATCAGTATCTGATGAAGGTATTGTCTTCTGAACGTTGGAATCACTAACACGTTCATTAATGTTGTACATCTCAATAATAGTTTCGGGTGGTTTTTATAAAACAAATTAGTTATTTGATTTGGAAGTGAATTGTTATATCATTTAAGTGTTTTGTTACAGTTTGTCCGTCTCGTTATTCTTTTTAATTTAATTCTGTCTCAATGTTAAATAAAAGAAGGTTGAATAGTTTAAGGGTTAATTAGTTAGAGAAGCAAAAATTTTCGAGAAAAACTCAAAAAGAACTTTCAAATTATGGTTCTACCTCGAAATGAGTTATACATTTTTTTAACAACTCTTATCACTCTTTTAACAATTTAACAATTATTACTTAACTGGGGTAAACTGTAGGAAAAATGTTATAAACAAAAGAATATTGAGAAAGGTCCTTAGTTCTTGATGAATGTAGAACAAAATACCAAAGTTCGAATGTTTTGTGTTACATCTTCATCTTGTATAGAAGCAAAAAACATAAACACGAGCGATAGCAAACTATAAATAGTGTGAGAATTATTCTTCGTATTTAATATTCGCGTTAATTTCAAATAGGTGGAGCCACGGTTCGAAATAATTATCCTTCTTCCACCTGTTTCCTTTTCCAATCCCGAGGGATGGAGATAATAAGGAAATCCTTCTTCGATCGCTTGTATCTCCGTTTATTTATTTCGTCGAGACTGTATCGCCGGGTTGAGAACAAAACTTCTATTGTACTCTTTATGACTGTACAATTAAGGAAGTCGCAATTACGCACTATTTCCTGCATAGTTATATCACATTGTTCCTTCGCGGAACCGCCGTCGCGTTTTTATTATTTAACAGCTTGTGTCCTGTTAATGCTCGCTTCGTGCACGTTTAATATTCATTTTTCTGGGTTGTTAGTCTTTGTTGTAGATAATTGAGTTCTTTGTTACAAGATGGGATTGACAATTTCAAAGTCTCCTGTCACTGAAAACAGGTAGAAATTATTTAAATATGATTTGATATTTATTATTTAAAATTAGAATTCTTCAAAACGTATGCAACTTTAAAAATATTTAAGTATCTAAGACAGTTGTTTAAGTTTTAAACAAAATTTCATTTAAGGTGTTGTAATTGTATAAATTTGTTAAATAAATTTCGAATGAATATCATTTCGTTCAGAAGAGGTATGACTTTTTCAGTAAAAGTGCAACAATTTTATGAATATTAGTTTGTTCATATTGTTAATATGAAATAAAATTTAATTAGCCTTCGGAATAATTCTCATAATTTATATTGTTTAATTCACTGAGAATAGAAGCTAGTAGGTGCAAGCTAATAAACTTAACAGCTCATTTTGATAATTTTTTAATCACTCTGTATCTTTATTTCCAAAGTTCATCTATAATACTGTTATTATCAGAGTTTTTATAACCGTAAATATATCACTATCGTTTCAGTACTAACAAAATGAGCTACCGTAATAATTTTTCAAGTGAATTTAACTTGTAGATCGCAGTCCGAGCATCAAGGAACTCAAAAACCTAGTATCAAAGATTTACATAGTAAATATACAATGGTATACAAAGAACTTAGTTGGTTAAAGTGATATGATTCTCGTCTTACGTGTCGACATAAATAACAATATAATATCAAAGAAATCATGCTAATTAATTAAATAATCTGAAAAAATGTTGCTCTCTTTCTTTCACATACTATTTAGAAAAATGTGAACACTGAACCCAGGCAAGTCTTACTATTAATCATAATTTAAAATTTAGAATTCTAAAAATTCAATGTTTCAACATCCGTATAAGAGTAATTAATTATAAATAAGCAAGTGGCATCAGTAACGTATGGATATTTTTTGTACAATGAACTTGTAAGTGATTAAAACGAACTTTGTTGTGGTGACTTTAATGCGTGGTAAAGAAGCACAGCAGCTTCGGTGACTTCAACGCGTGGTAAGACCTGTCTGCGGGCTCAGCATGTTAATATACGTTTCAAAATGACAATGTTCTTTTGAAATTACATTAACAATAGTATACATATGTAGACTATGGATTTTGTGGGCTTCTATAGGATACATAATTTTGAAAAATTTCGATTGTTTTAAAAGTTTAATAAACTTAAACGAGTTTTTGATTTTATTTGGAATTTAAAAGAACATTTAATTATAAAGATCTGTATTTGCATACACATCCACAGTCTATATACAGATATAAATATGTTAGTATATTTATGTTTTTACATTTATGATATCTTAGTTCGCTTATAAAATATATATAACACTCTTATAACAATAACAAATATATACGTATATACCTGTCGAACGTATCAACGTCCTTATATTAACATTCACGCTTGTTAAAACAATTTGTATTTCTGTATGAACTTTGATACTTTTCTAACATCTATATTTTATATTATCCTAAAAAAACAGTGTACAAAATAGAGATTCAGCATTGTTCTGAGGACTTCGGAAATATAATTTTACATTTATATTTGAAATCGTTACGACCCTACAATACTCAATGCTAAAAAAGAAATATTAAACGTAACTCAACGCTTGATACTGGGAAGTACATGCACGATGTTTAATTAAAGGTGTTCCAGAAGAATTTTCTGGGATGATTGACATTCGGTATGTGGATATATACGTTTATCGAGGATCTTGTACAACAATTATTGCTCGTAAGTATTCGAACGATGCTTTTTCTAATAATACAAAAATATGAAGTATTATAAAAATAGTTTTGTGAAATTTGAACAATTTTTATTAACTGAAATGATACAATATCTATAACAATGAGAATTTGTAATTTGTACTTGAAAAATGTTTAATTTTTAATTACTACATAGTTTCTCTTAAAATTTAGCATTCCATAATAGGAACATATATGTATATTTGTTATTGATTTGCGATATTTCTTGCAATTTTTATCGAGCATAATTCCAATGTAATTCAGTATCATATAGAAAATATAGACAGAAATATGAATATTGTGATTTGCATTGATTTTGCTATAATGAATTAGTCTAAATTTCTTCAGTATCATTTTATAATTGTAATATTATCTGAATAATAAAACAAAATTGGAATAAGAAATAATACTATAGCAGTTTTGAACATTTTCGCAAATTTTCATTTTTGTAGAAAACTTCGCAAAAATACAAAACATTACTTTCTATAATGTAACAAATAACAAAACTTGAAGCAAATTTAAATTGTTAAATGTTAAAGTTTTCCAGAATAGAAACAAGATTGTGTTCTTCAGTCGTTATTTAAATCGCATATATCTATTTTTTTATAATAAGATCATAATTCGTTTACGGTCGAGTACTTGTGAGCGCCATTGCGTTACTTTCTTATTACTACAATTACTTTCGTACGTGTATACAGAATTTGTACAAGATCGGAGACTTTGAGTCAACGAAAGATATTGTCAGTAAAAGATACATTTCGACTATGTCCTGATTATATCCTTCATTAATCTTTCAATTCTCTAATTACCCACCGATTCTTGCATTCAAATTGTGACGAAATACTTATATTACAACAACTTACATCTTATACGCATCTGTCACGGCGAAAAATATATGAAATTATTTTTACTTGTAATTACTCTTATATGAGCATTAAAGTTCAACAAATTATTCAATTAATATATTAATGACACAGCTTAAGAGATAGATGCGGTTCCATTTAACGCTTTGAATGCCATGGCACTCTCGTGTGAATGATGTAACTTTGGTCTGATACTCATCATTAATATTTATAGTATTATCAAGTTAGTACAATGAAATATCGTTTTATCAAATAAAACTTGAATCACAGCAGTTTATTCTAAACTATGTATATAAATAATTCCGTACACATTTTTGAATTATTAACTAGCTTCATTATTTCTTATTTATGATTTTTGCAGTTTTATGACAGTTTTTGCTTTAACAATATTTGTAAACATTATTATATGAAATTTTGTAACACAAGTTTCTGATTCTGTTTTCATATATTTCCATGTTAGCAAATATTTTGGTAATTTTCTAAAATTTGAAAAATTTCTGGAATCCGTGACTGGAATAACGAAATGAATTAACTGTTATGAAGAATGTACAAAATTATGTAAATGTTGTTTTGATTGAATATAGAACACTTAGAAGAAATTTTGTTGTCGAAACCTTATTTAACAGATGTTTGACGTACACTGATTTAATAAAATAAGTTCGATCAAGACGAATACTTTTCACGATATTAACCCCCTGTCTTATAATTTCTTTCGTTCAATAAAATTTATTGTTTCTAATTCACTAAAAGAAGAAAAGCATCATACTCATTCTATATCTACGTTTAATCTAGAGCATTACAACTGATAATTAATTATTTTTCTAATAATTTCTTCATTTCCATCAATTTTCTACTAATTCTTTCATTTCCCAATTTCAACTTACACGGAAGAAATGGCATTTATATATCTTAAATTCCAGTTGAAATCTTCGTCACAGGTTTCACACGATATTACACAACAGGGGGTTGAACCGGCTCTCAAAGCGTTAAACAATTCTCAAAGCACAATGAAAAAATGGTTGCCGATAGAAAGCAGTGATAAGCGATTCGAGAGGACTTCTTTTCCCACGGTACATCTTGCGACACGCGTTTTCGACGCGATTCCGCGAGCGATTTATCATCGAAATATCGGAAGAAAAACGAGTATCGAGATCTCAGGAGGAACTTGTTCATTTTTTATCATCCGGTTGGCTTTCGATGGTGACGTTACATCGATCCTGTTCATCATCGAAACCCGGATTTGTCGCGCCATTCTGTCGCGAGCTTTCTTTCGTCCGGTCGCGTTCGTTCGTCTTTTTCATTTTCTTCCCCGTTAGCTTTTTCCGGTTGTTGTCCTCTGCTTTTTCGATTTTATCGAGATTCTTCGCGTTGTTGATTGCCTCCATGTTATTCCGGTCTCTTTTCTCGTCATCCTTGAGCTCCCTAATATTCTCTTGTTCCTTGGAGAACGCTTGATTGTCGATGCCAGAGAAATTATTCGATCCCTTTTCTTTGGACTCGTTCTCACGCGGTTTCTTCTCTTCCATCGCTATTTCAATAATCTCGACACCATTCTGGTTCTCCATTTTCTTCGGTTTCTTCTTCACGATATCGTTGCCTTCTACCTGGGGACGTTTCTTCAGGTACGCGACGTTGAAGATGTAATACATCAGACCGGTAATCAGAGTTATTACCGCGAAGATTCGATAGGTTGGCCGAGTGCCGAATGCTTTCATCAGGTAGCCGCCGATCAGACTTCCTGAACCTTTGCCTGGAACCAAGAAATTTTATTCATCTTTCGATTTGCGACACCGTCAAAATAAGTAGCACAAAAGAAATTGTTTTTAAATAATTTATTTACAAATTATTTTATATTATGAACAGATTTAATCAATATGTTCGTTATCAATATTAGATATCTGTAACATAAAACAATTTTTAATTTTAAATTATTTCATTTTCTGATTCTAAATTATTCAAAAATTAAAATGTTTGCCACCAATGTCACGTATTTGTAACATAAAGCAATTAAAAATTTTGAATTACTTAATTTTTACATTTTCAAATTAATTAAACATTGACACGATTGCTATCAATGTCACATATTTCAACGTCATAAATTATAATAGGAGCGGTAAATATTGGAAAAACACACTATTTTTCATCTAATAATTTGATATATTGACTTTAAATAAATAAATGAAGAAAAACGATATATATCTATATAAAGGTAATAGAGAATTATAATTAAAAACTCTTGATTCCTGAATCAGCTCCAAAATCATATAATTTAATTACATTTTATATCTTAATTTAATAATAATGTTTACGGTCATTTTAAATTTTATAATTCATTGAATAAATAAAGTGTGCACATAATAATAATTAATTCCGGTGTAAAAATTGCATGAATTGAATTTCAAATATTTTTATAGATTTTATAATATCGTTTGATGAATACAGGATATGAGTAGCATCTCACATTTCTTAACATTAAACTTAACGGCGCATTGCATACACCTATTTTTAACACAACCAGTCAAATAAATATAAAAATAAACAAGTTAGACGATAAATTCCGGTGGTGGAAACAGAAACAAAAGGAAAAACGAAAATTGAAAAACTGATTAATAGGACAACAGAAAAATTTATATAAAATTCAATGGACGACAGAAGATGCAGAACTTTAAATCAAATTTTAAAATCGGTCATTTGACCGACCACGATACGTTTAGTGTTAAGGTTCTACGAGTCATTAAACAAATTGAGTTCTCAAATAATCGTAAATAACATTGGAAAGCAAATTACATAAATTGAAGAATTATTACTAACCGACTCCATAGTAAACGCCACCTAACAGTCCCTGTATCGAGGTATCGGTGGTAGTGGTGGACAATTTAGCAGCGTAAGTAACAGCAGCGGTGAAACTTAGCGACAGGGTCACTGATTCCAGCGCCTCAAAGATGAGTGTGTGCCAGGGATTGTAAATAATTGAATAGCCTGTAAAAGAACATTAAATTGATGGAAAGTTATTTGAAAATATTTATAGTTGCTTGAGATATATATTGTTCTAATTTTTATAAAAATTTAGAAATAAATCACTCCAATTGCTCGATAATTTTAGTGTTAAATACTCGGTAGTTCTAGTGTTAATCTCATCGAGATAACGTTGCGCTAATATTTAATTCTATCGAAAATAACTATGTCTTGCTAGTTAAAAAGTATATAAAAGTATAGACACACTGGAACGTAGAGAATGTAAACAAAAAGCTGGCGAAGTAGTTAAACTAATCACTCAGTTAACTGCGTTTAACGTCATCTTAAAATAAAAATGATACTAATGCTCACAACGACCAATTATTTATATTTTTCAAGTAAACATGTAAGTTCCTTTTCGTTTTGCTTTAGGTTTTCGTTAAAATATATTGTAAATGTATTTGGCCTGCGTTTGACGAGTTTACACTTGACGCTTCCATTTCATTGCGCACATTATCAGAGATTTTTCAAATTAAATTCCACAGTTAACAAGTTAAACAGATAATTTCTCGAAATGACGGAAAAAAGCGGTCCGAAGGACCGATTAATGTGACTGGGACGGCGAGCAGAAAAATAGCTGGAAGCGCTGTAATATCAAGGACGCATTGCAATTATCACGGAGTTACTGCAGCCACGCAGGAATTAAAATGGATGCTTACCGCAAAGTCTTATGGCGTAAAAAACGAACCCTATGAAAAGTACATTGGCATGGCCGATCTTTGATATGATTGGGCCAGATAGAACCAGTAATGGTATGCCGGCTATACCGCCTACGGTTATGGTGATACCCATGAGTGATCTTGATCCCCCCAAGTCCTGAATCAGCCAAAAGAGGAACGACTCGATGTAGCCCCAGGCAGTTCCTGCAAACAAGAAAAATA